CTCCTCCCGGCTGAAATATCACCTGGCCACAAAAGACTGGCTCAGCTATTTGAGTAGAAAAAGATCTGTGTCTGACTGGATTAGGAGGAGCTCAGGCTGGCTCTGAGTGTTATTTAATGTGATAAAGCCCCAGGAAATGGTGGACGTTCCTGTTTAACTCCTAACGATTACACTTGCCTCAGACTCTGTGGCTCGGGGTTGATGCAGCCCCGTTTTGGGGCTGTGTATTAGCAGATCCTATGGGCAGAAGTCCCTGCAGAGCAAAACCCTGCCAAAAGAATTAGCTGAGGTAGCAAGCACAGGAGAAAATACTGCTTTTAATAATGATTTCCCATTTCTGGATCTGTAGTACTCAGCACGTGCATCAGACATGGGTCAGGTTTTGTGGGAGCTGCTGCACTGTCTGGCTGTCTGTTTCATCTCAGGCTTGCTTTCTCTCTTTGAATGCAATTCAGAGAGAACACAGATATTCTCATGGGACTTTTGTTGGTTGTTTCCAATGTCTTTTGAGAAGTCTGTGGAACAGCAAAGAATTCTTGGTATCAGTCTGTACCTGAGAGACTGTATTGCTCCATTTTCTTGCATTTAAGCAGAAGAATACAAGATGTGCACACTACAAAGATATATCCTCTGGTTTTACTCCAGCCAGGGAAAAGATGCTTCACTTTTTTGTATCTATGCTTAATAATCCTTTTAGAAAAGGAAAAAAATATCATTGATTCGCATCAGTTCCACTTCTTGTTTTCCTAATGATGCCTTGCTTGCTAACTCTCCTCCTCCCTGCCCAAACTCCAATTTCTCTTGGACAAAAAGCCTGTCAGCCCAGCTTCATTTTTCACCTGCTCCCAGATCCCACAAACTAATCACCTTTCAGTTGGTGTGCTATGAAATAATAGCCAGTGGAATTTCAGCACCAGCACAGCAACTGTGTGGAAGAAGGATCTGCAGAGCTTCACCAGAGCTCCCTGTGACATGAGTACGAGCTTGCACTGTGCTTCTTGGTGGTAGTAAGTAGGACTTGATGAGCTTCCTGTTGCACTCATAACCCCCAGCAGTCTACTTTCAGATCTCTCCAGGATCTCAAATCTTGCATCAAATCATTGGTGCTCTCCCTTCATGGCAGCAGGCTCAGCACCCCTTTGCTAATACCATTGCTTGTGTGGAGGTTTAGTAACTAAATATATGTTAGTTAATTGTCATAAAAAGGTAGCTGAAACTGCTTAGTTAGGTACTTCACTTTGATAGGGTATAAAAACTATGTGAAACTCTCTGGGTCATGAAAATTTGTTCCTCCTTCTCTCCCCACATACTGTTTTTTAAATCTCTTTTTGAAGAGTGGAACTCAGACTTTCTTGAAGTAATTGGCTAGGAAGAGATTAATGTCTGATTTGAACCTGCAATAGAAATTAAAATGCATTGCCTGAATTCAGGACAGGTGTAAGATGGCAAAGCTCCCTTGTGAAATGCAAAACCTATTGAAGTTCAGTCTGATGTGTGCTCCTGGCTCTTCTGGGCTGTTGGAAGCCCACCCAGATACCTCCAAATACCATAGAGGCCTTCAGAGAGGGGCTGAGTCGTGCAGTGCTGATACTCTCCATCACTCCAGGAATAATTCTTTCCAGGCTTCTTCTTTTGAGCTCTGAACAAGGAGCAGCTGAAATCTCCCTATTTTGCAGATTGTGGAACCTCTGCTATCTAGACGATTTGCAGGGATTAAAGTTGTTCCTTTGGATACAGAAGTTCACAGCAGAACCAGATGCATCTGTAAGGGGAGAGGGCAAGAGCAGGCAACCACACTGCCTCTTCACATGAGACCGAGTATCAGCAGGACCTGGGGCTTGCTTGGAAATTACCCTGTAAAATATACTGTTATTTCTAAAATCAGAAGAGTTACAGTGGTGAGATCATGGGTTATTTTCAATAGCACATGACTTATCTCCCAGTTTCCCATGTGACAGGCAGTATCTGCTCATCCTTAGAGGAGCAGAAATTGAGTCCATCATTTTCCTGACTACTGGGGTATGGGTATCCTTGATGTGCAAGGAAGAGAGGCAGGAAGGCAAGAGGTGCCTAGTCTGAAAGGAATGCACTCCAACTGGTAAAATAGAGCTAATGCAGCCAGCACAGCAAACGCTGTGTGGACAAAGCACAGCCTCTCACACCAGTGTGATTCAGTGAGTGCTGGGGCAAAGCCTGGCCTTGAAAGGTGCTCTGTGCTTGCTCTCCTTTGGCTTTGCCCCATGCAGGGACCCCCTGGACAGCCAGCAGCCCTTTGGGAGCCCCATGCAGTGACGGCATTTGCACGGTAGCGTTCGTACAGCAAAGCTGCACCTTATCCTGCTTTTTAGTTTGATGGACTAAGTCATTGCAGTTTTTTGGTGATGTTGGGTAAACCTGTTTGCTTGGTTGGCAGTGGGGCTGAGCAGCTTTTCTGTAGAGAGATTGAATCTAGTGTGAACGCAGAGGAGCATGTCTGCCCGTGTGCGGTTAGCTCTCTTAGAAGGGCTGCCTTGTCAGGAAGTCAATAGAACCATTTCTGATGCATACATCTAAAGATTTAACCATGGGTAACATGCTTTCAGACTAAAAGCTATTGAAATAGAGTCAGGGTGAAAATGTTTGAAACAGCTAATGGAGTTTGAGCTCCATTTTCAAACCCTACCCTCACCGTGTCGGGGAGAGGTAGGCACTGGAAACAGTAATTGATGATGAAATGAAAACATTATTCTTTATCAATCGTGGATAAGGAGCAATATTAACTTGTGGCTTTTGATGTAGAAAGTGGATGTAGCGAGAGATGGCGCTTAATTAAATTGCATCTTATAATTAATCAAATACCTGGGGCCAACAGTTAATGCAAACGAGGCAACCTGGCTGACTGCCAGAAATGCTTGTTGGATATAGGCTTTTTATACAAAATAGATTTAAAAAGTAATTCAGAAGAATAGTGGAATTTAGTGCACTAGGCTGGTCCTGCATCGTTTGATTCTCACCATTTGCACGCACCAGGGAGAAGATTGTTGCCTAAACCTTAGAAAATTAGCTTGCATTCAAAGCACATTTATAAATGCTGAATTCTGTAAGTGAAAACCTCTATTTTTTTGACATCCCTTTCAGAAGCACATAGTCTGTTGTTGAAATTGTGTTGCTTTCAGAAGTGAAAAGGTGCTAGTGAATAGATGCTGTGCCTGCTCAGCCTTTAAGAGCATTTAAGGTTGGAAGTAATGGGCTCTGAACAGGAAGCGTGTTTGTGGCAAGGCGTCTGCAGCGCAGTGGTTGAACAGAACTAATTCTCAGAAGGGAAGTGTTTTGTAGTTGTTAAAACAAGTTTAAATATAACAATACATAAGATTTTCCATGTCCCAGTTCTGTGTAAATAAACCTGTGATACTCTTTGGCCAAGTCTGCAAAGGCGACGAGCCCAGTGTTACCTGATTTCTCTGGTTTGCACGGCCGTGTTTCTGCCCTTCAAGCGCACTCTTGTTGAGAAGGAAAGTGAGTTACATGTTGTGTTCAGCTACACAGCTTTTATCCAGCTGTGCAAAGGAACGATGCACAGTGACCCCGTTAAGGCAAATCTTTGCTGTCTTGGTCAGTGTGTTGATAGCATTTGACACAAAGCGTCATCTTAGGTAAAAAAGAAAAAAATCAACTTAGACTTATGCCTTAAAAAAAGAAGTACTGAAAACTATCTTCTGCATAGCACATGAGGCAAGTAAGTTTCGTTCTGGGCAAGCAGAAGAGGTTTTTGGCCTCTCTGCAGCTTCGTCACCATCCCAGCAGGGTCAGCATGAGGTAAAGGGTGCATCACATGTCTCTTCTCTTGTGGCCTCCCACTCTGGCTGGGTCTGGAAACAGCAGCTGATCTGCAGTGGTGGTGATGCCATGGAACATATGTGGCTTTTCAGCTGGGCTTAGGGATTGTGTCTTCTCAGGACCACTTGAAAAAGGGCCCTTGAAATGTCATATATGTGAAGTAAAAGTAATGAAGCACGTTCCGGAGACTGTGGGTGCTGTTGGGAAGTCCCTAAGCAACCAAGGATTCAGACATCTTCATTATTACTAAATGTGTCCTGAAAATTCATACTTCTCCATCTGCTGTCTCTCTTACTCCTAGACTAAGTTATTGTGTAAATCTCCACTCCATGCAGGCTTGGGTGATGCAGATGGGTAGAGCCCAGGAACCCACATTTAGGAAACTGTGCTTAGTTTGTCAGACCAACACATTTTTTTTCACTTTATGGTGTCTACAAGGCACCATCATGGCTTCTGGGATCGAAGTGTTTCAGTCACTTTGTATCCTGAGCTATCCAGATGAACAAGAAGAAGTATGGAGGATCCTGTGACGTTTGCATCTGCCTGAGTGATACCTGCCTTTCTTTCATAATTTTTCAGATGCCGGGGGGTCTGGAAATCAGCATGGTCTGTCAGCTGTAAGGAAAAATGCAGTCAGTAATATCCAGGCAATTGTCATATAGAGTCTGAGTGCTTAATTTTGTAGAGAAAAGGTATCACTTTTTAGTCCAAGGCAGGGGTCTGGGAGGGCATCTTCCCGGGGCACAGTAGATACTGCAGGCTGCTTCATGGTGTTGGTAACTAGTGGTTCTTCATACTAGACCAGTCATAAGCCATAGACCTACCTCTGGAAATCATGTGCCTCTGTAGAAGAGAAAATGATATTGGGAGAGCAGTTTCTTCTCAGGTTCAGTCCTGTCCCGAGTGGTGCAGTTACTCCATTGCAACTGAGAGCATAATCTGGTCTCCCGGGGTTTGGTTTTGTTTGTTTTCTCCTCTTAGGGCAAAGAAGATGAATGGGCCAGAACTGTGGAGTAATTCACAATGCCCCAAAGCTTCCGTACTGGTGACTTTTGCAAAGTGCCTGCCTTGCCTGACTTCAGCATGGAGGCCCTGGGTCACAGAGAGGAGCACTGCTGCTGGCCTCTCCTTAGCCAGCTGGGAGCTAAGGGAAGCTTGGCTCCTAGTGGAGACCTTCTGGTGTGTCGTTTCCTGCTGTGGGGCCTGAAAGCCAGTCAGGAGCTGTGTTCAAAAAGATGCTGTAATGTGGTAGCACCTACTGAGTCTGAAAGGAGGCTGCAGGACATGAGGAGTCCCCCGTCAGTCCTGCTCTGCTGTCTGCACCTGTCCATGGGCATACCTGCCAAGAAGCTCTTCCACTTGGTTTCCAAGTATTGAGCTGTCCTGTGGCAGTCCTTTTGCAGCTTCTTGGGGGGACTCTCTGCTTCTTTCTTTGCCTTCCAAAGAGTCCAAGCCTCTAGCTTTGTTTCCACATTCCTTGCTGAAAAGGCAGCAGGTACAGAGGGGAAGTGGAGGAAGTAAGTGATGCTGTTGGATTTGGTTCACCTTTCTGGGAGGGGATGTAAGAAAGACCTGATGACTTTTTTTATCAGAAACCTTGAAGGCTGAAGCAAGCTTGCTTGGAGGAGCTTTGTTACCAGAAATCTCTTTGAAAGCCACTCTTGCTTATGATTAATGCTTTAGCTGATAGTGTTGAATGGTGTGTGTGGGCAGGAGCAGGGTTGTAGTAGTTGGTAGGCATGTGTACTGGCTGCATGACAAGTGGAAAAATGCAAGGCTTAATTATCAGGTTCTTAACCTCTTCATGACACAAAGCTGCTGTTATGTCACTGACTAATTTGCTCTTTTTTTTTTGTTTATTGTCAGACAGACACAATTTCACTGGAAATCAGGACGCTGTATCCTTCTGTACCTGAAGATGCAGAAGAAAAGGCAGAAAATTTATTTGTTAAAGAGGTAAATATTGTGTGTGTGTGTCTCCTTTAATTTTGAATAAAACAATGGGTTTAGGGGAGGATTGCTGTGATTATAATGATTTTCTCTTTTTATATTGTTTGGATGATTTGAGTCAGGTTTGAATTTTGGAGGCCAGAAGGAAGGGGGGGTTGACGGCATATCTGCAGGTGCCTATTCCAAGATGTGACTATCTGGAAAAACTGGAAATGCAGAGGCAGCCTCTCATTCTGCTGTTTCCCATCTGCATTCCGTGTCCCTGCCAGTCCACTGGTATTGATGTTGGTATTTTTACACGGGTGCTCATCACTGGTGATCTGAATGCGCTTTGCGCTTTGAAAATATTGATATCTTTCCAAAAGTAGTAACAGTTTGGCACTGCTTTAGACTGTTAGTTATTCCAAGGTGTATATCTTATTCAGAGGTGTATAGTAAGGCTATCTGAGGAGTAGTAGAAGGATGCGTAGGGGTTTATACACATTGTTACTATTTAGAGTCTGTTCTGCTGTCTTATTAGAAAGTCAAGCAACTTTCTTCCATGGCAATTAGAGCCCCACTAGGAGTGGATAGTTCCTCCACCTTTACAAAAACTATAGTCATGTAGTTTCTGTAGCTGATCTTAGCTTGCAGGAGAAGACTGCTTTTCGTCCTGCCTCAGGGGTATTTCAGGTATCACTCTGAAGGACATTGGAGGTGCTGGCTGCACTGCTCCAAGGAACTGACTTTAGATGGCTCTCTGAACCATGCTCATCTTCCACTAGAGGTATAAAGCATAGCTTTTCAGTAACAAAACAGATTCATGAAGCTAAATTTTCAGCCAGCTTCTATAAGGGGTTTAATTCCAAGCACCTGTCTTGTGTAATGTCTGTGTTCTCTGGCGGTTTTTTTCCCCCCAGACTGGGATTTTTCACCCCTGACTCCCTGGTTTGGATGACTGCAGGCTATTTCATGTGCACTATAGTGCAAGATAATTTGTGGAGGAAGTCAGTTGCAGAAAAACACAGGGATTCAAAGGAATAAAATCCAAGATGAGGCAGAAACGTAGCAGGTGAATTGTGTGCAACGTGATGTTTTCCAGGCTAGCCATATTTCTCTCCAGCAGGTCTAGAAAGAGCAATAACAACTTACTGCCAGCTCAGATTGCCTGAACTTTGCCATCTTTCTTGATCTGACAGCAGAGTTAAATGATAACATGGCTCGATGAATTATCTACCTTCCGGGAAGCCTCGCTGCCCTTTCAGCACTTTGGGGTCTGCTTTTTATTTTAAGGTTCCAGAAGCTGCAAGGCCAGCACTGTGCTCATGGCTTTACAGAGAAAGCAGTGGGTCTAAAAATGGAACCTAGAGCACGGTGTCTGGGAATCATTACAGCCGAGTACTCCAAGGGGATGCTAATGACAGGCTGGTAAAATCCATACTGAGCACATCTATTAGCTCCCTGTACAACGCCAGTGAGCCGAGGGGAGGGCGAGAGAGGAGCAAAGCAGTGGAAAAAAGCAGTGCTACAGAACTAAGCCTGTGCACGGGACAGCAGCAGGATAAGAGCCTCTGCTGAAGCAGTGTGCATCTGTTCCACTTCACCACAAAGCCAAAAGCTATCTATGAAATGAATGAAGCTCCAGGAAGAGGGTGGTTTCTAACCCCTCCAAGAACAATAGGTGCTCTTTGGCTATTTCTTTGGGGAAGCATGTTTGCAGAGGGTCAGGCCCTGGGGATGAGGAGGGGTAAATCTTTTTGAAGTGCCTTTTACTGTGGTGGCCGTCATGCTGTCATCAGCAGAACGAGACCGGAGAAGACACAGGTGGAAGAAGCTGGTGGGATTGTCTGTCTCTTAATGAGGCCAGCTAGGCAACAAGTAAAAAACGAGAAATGACCTGAATTTGATAGGGCCCTTGGGAATGGGACTGTGCAGCCTGCCTGGTCAACAATGCGGGAGGAAAGTTCATGCAAACATGTGCCAACCCTCCCACATCCCAAAGCTTCCATTCCTCCGTCTGTATTTTTCCTCCCCCACAGTCCACTTGAGCTCCACAGCCCCTGCACTGGTGCCTCCGCTCTTTGCCAGGAGCAGGAGGATCCAGCTCTGGCCTCTTGAGGAAATCTCTGCCTCTGTAAATGTTTTTCTTGCTCTTCCAAGCAGGTGTGCATGTATTTTTCCTCATTGCTAAAATTCAATTTCCAATAATAATTTCCTAATTAAAAAGATACCATTATTAGAAGTCAGTGCAGTCAGCAGAAGTATTTGAATTTTAGCTGAGGTATTCTGAAGAGAAAATGCTGTCATTTTTAGTTTATTTTTCTTAAAGTAGATATGATTTGCAATGGATAGCTGCAAAAGCTAGCTCCAGGACAGCGTTAGCTGCTGCACTGAGTTGGCTCAGCTCTGTAATTTACTGAATGATTCTTGAATGTGCTGCTTGTCCCCTTTGATTTTTGTTTTGATTAGCTTTTTCTTGGAGGAGCACAATAGACCTTTATAGCTAACAAGCTAAAATACTGTGGCTTGCTCTATACGTTACTCACAACTGTGCATTTTTGGAAGACATCAGCCTATAACGTTTGCAGTAAAAGCCTTGAGAATTCTCTGTGGGCTTTAATTGCATGTGTTGAGGAGGTTACTTAGTAATGAAATTACCCTGGGGAAGAAGTGGCCTTTTTATGTTCACCAAGCAGAAAGTGAAGCGTGAATTGGAGGGTCTGTGCCCATCCTCACAACGTTCAATGAAGGAGCTGTTCATGGGCCCATAGAGAACAGAGCCTGTGTGGCTCTTGTAAGAGTGTTCTTATAGCCCAGGTGACTACTGAATAGTTTTAATTAAAACTTAGATCATTTAAATGCCAGAGTGACCAAGTTGTTGTATGAAGAGTCTCAAAACAGAAAGTTTGGGATCTGGTTGGTTGGGTTTTTTCTCTATTCTAAGTCAAAGTGCAAACCACGTTGAAGTGGTGCAGGAATATGGTTGTTGGGGTGGGCTTTGGACCTGACCCTGCAAGGGGCAGAGTTACTGTGCTGTCGTGTTGTGTTCATTCTCAGAGAATATAGGACTATTTCATATTGTCTAAAGGCCATGCTTTATTCCACATCCTGTAAGGTACCAAGGGTCTGTGTCAGACCAAGGATTAGATGGTAGATCCACGTGGAATGCGTTCACTGCAGACTGCCTTTGGTTGGGCTGAACTGCTCAGTTTGGTGTCGGGGTGGGAGAGCACTGCCTGTAAATGTCCATCCAGTTCCTTGCTGCCTTCACCATATCTAAACCAAATAAAGCTGTCACAGAAGACTGTGACCACACCCAAGATGACTTCCTAATTTGGGGCTACATACTCTGCGTGTTTGACACAAGATTTAAAAAGGAGATTTGTGGAGGCAGTGCTGAGTAGATTAGAGAGCACCACCTTTACGTTTTCAGCCCATCTCAGTTTCTGCTCCAGCAGCCTGATAATCCCCTCCTTCTCCCCCTTCGTTGCCTTTTCTTCCACTTTCTCTGTGTAGCTGTTGGTATTTAGAAATCTTGGATCTGTCTTTCCGTTCATTCTCTTGGTCTCCTGGAGTATCATCCTTCCCATACCTTTCTGTGAGACTGTTCTTCCTGTTCCCACTTCAGAATCCTTTTGGTGCTGCTGCTTCTTTCTTGGCTGTAGGTCTCCACTGTTCTCCTTCCTGACATGCCACCTTTTCCCCAGGGTCTTGGGCAGCAGCTTCTACTGTTAGGTTTTAGGTTTGATCCCTCTCTTTCTTCCTGTCCATCTCACATGGGCTGCTGCAAATGTCTAAGTGGAGTGGAGGGAGAAAATAATAACATACTAGGGTAAATTCTTTGGCTTACTGTACAAGCACCAGTTCACATTGTGCACTCTGAGGCAAGAATCACTGGGAATTCCAACACTGTGATATTTTTTCTTCTTGTAGATGTGTACCTTATAAATAACTGTATGTATTTCATGAATTTTGTTGCCTTTAAAAATGTCATGTTGTGTTTAATTGCATTGATAAAAGTTCTGCACTGAGTAAACTGCACAGTTATTCTGGTCTGTTTGACAGCACTGCAGAGCCCTTCGGCACAGCCTTTGTTCAGGTTTGGTTCCCTTATTTAAGGGAGATTGATATATTAAGAGCAATTTCAAAAGATGAATGCAGAACCAGTGAGAAGTTCTTTATAAAAATAAAAACTACAAGGAGATGAGCAAATTCAGTGTGGAAGGGAAAATGGGACTCTGGTGAGAGCTGATAGTCCTGTTAATATATTCCTGAATGTTGTTGAGGTTAAAGATCAACCCTTAAGGGCAGAACGAGTAGTGTGCTTGTGCTGCAACAAGCAGGAGTCAAAGGAGTATGGAAATGTATCTACAATGGAAGGCTTAGGTAATGAATTGGGTTGCAAACAAAAACTGTACAGTTAATGGAGAAGTCAGGCCTCAACAAGGTAGTGTCTTCTGAGGCAGTAGCGATATTATTCAATGGTGCTCCCTACAGAGTGGATGAGAATCAGTAAAGCATGTCAAATTGCTACCAGCCCCCTCCTCCATCTTGTGTGAGTCAGTGGATTCTATTTAAGTGAGAAATTGTGCTTCAAAATGTTTGGAAACATATGACTGACCTGACTTCAAGAGCTGTGCATCCAGGTATAAAAGACAAGAATATGTTCTCTAGCACAAAGGACTCCCTCAGACCTTAGTTCTCTTGCCATCTTCAGTGTAAATATTTGTAGTAATTTTATGTCGTTGTTTGTGTTTTTTCTCTTTAGGCTTGTAAATACTACAGTTCCCCGTGGCATGTTGTGAACTATAAATATGAACAGTATTCAGAAGACTTTAGACACTTACCACAGTAAGATGTAGCTCAAGTTCTCCTTTTTTATTACTTTTGTCTTATTAAGTTTGTGTCATTTTACTGAGCTTTGTCCATATTTGCACTTTCCTTTCTCTTCCACGCTCTGCTTGTTTTACTGTATTTATAGTGCTTTGCATTTTTAAAAAGGGGAAGAAAAGGTCCTTTAGCAAAAGTTCAAGACTCTGCAGAATTCACTAGTGTCAACAAACTCTATTAGTGCTGATTCAAATCCTTGGGAGCTTATTTGCATCCTCAAAGCACAGTGGATACGGGAAGGCTGCCTTTCCATTTTCCTTAATAATGCATAAATGTCACTCACCTTTCACTGGGATTCACTCTCCTTTTAGTTACAGTGTGTAACAGGGGAGTAGGATTTCACCCAGTGCTCTGTAGCTGCATCCTGCAGAAGAGTTGGGTGCAATGTGCTCAGAGCACGCTGGTGAAGCACCCAAGCAAGGAGGCTGCAGGACTGGGCAGGTCTCTGGGCATCCCTGCTGTGCTCAGAGGCAGGGCGTTAAATTCAGTGGAAAGGTGCTGGGAGGAGAAGGAATGAATTCCTTGATGGAATGGAAAGAGATTAAGAATATGGTGCCCGTTCCCTGACGCTTGGGAGTTTCTACCCTGCTCCTGTTTCTGGCAGGGTTGTGTCACGTGCCCTAAAGACTGTTTTAGGGAATTAATGAAATCACTGAACTGAAATCATACCTCCTTTCCTGCTGTTCGAGCCTTAAATAGTGATACTGAGTGACAAAGGTTGTTACATGCAGGTAACACATGAATGGGTGCTTCAGGCTTGGCTTGGGTAGGAGCTGGTACTAACTAAACATGTTTTGTTGCAGGAGTCAATAAACTGATCCTTGTGATCCCCTTTGGTGGTGTGTCCAGAGGGTGTTGTGCTGCAGGCCTGCCCTCACACCTACGTGTTCTTTTCAACATCAGTATTTTGAATATGGTAGTACAAAAAACCCTTAAGAGCAGTGTTGCTCATCAGAGACTATAAAAATACCTTTTCTGAATTATGCAGTGTCCTGATTGTTGTAGACAATGAATGCATTTTGTGCTGGAGCAGACTGTTTGCAGTGTAGGACTTCCCCGTTCAACCTGGAACTTCTTCACCCTTCTGAAATGTGCATTTGAGAGACACGGCTGCATTGCTATGCACAAAAGTGCATTTTGGCTGATTAAATAGACCCTCTTCTGCAAAGGGTGTTTTAATATGGTGCTTAATGTGATTTGCTTTTATGAGTTCATGCTCTAGGGATATTACAATGTCTCATGTCTTCCTCTTCTCCCCTTGCATAGAGGATTATAACAAACACGAGATCTTCTGTCTAGTATCCAGAACACAGCCCTTGGGAATGGTTTGGGTGCAACACTGGCTGGTGTTTCAGAAACAAAGTTATGACAGGAGACTCTATATTTTGGTTGCCAAAAGTTGCCATGGCTTTTGAGCTTAACATACCTTAAACAGGGCTGGTTTGGACTCCAGCTCATTTCGTACCCTTTCCAGCCTCTTCAGCATCAACACACCTTGATTTGCACGTGCACCTTCGGAAGTTCAGTGGTTTAGACAATCTCCTCACTGAAAACAAAGTGGCTCGGTGTGTCCTCGTGGTGGTGTTGCAGCTCACTGGTGATAGCTCAGAATGCATCTCCATGGAAGTAGTGCTGGGGCACCGGGGAAGAGCTCAATAACGTGTGCACAGCAACATGGCCAAAACGTTCAGCAATTGCTTTAGTTTTTCTCTGAGTGTGTTCCTCCTTTGATGTTTTTCTCAGGTCTTTCTACCCCTTAAATTCCTCTCTGTGAGCTCTCACTACCTCTTTTTAGACATTTTTTTGTGCTTTGTGCTGGTGTGTTCATGTTTCTTGAGCAAGTGGAAGGGTAGAGGAAGAACAGGGGTTGCTTAGTGTGTGCTGTGGTGACAGTATGTCTGGGAACAGAAATAGTCATTAGCAAAGCTTTTGTTGTCCTTCATAGAAAACCTGGAACATAGAATCACAGGACAGTTTGGGTTGGAAGGGACCTTTCAAGGTCATCTAGTCCAATGCCACTGCAGGGAGCAGGGACATTTGCAACTAGAGCAGGTTGCTCAGAGCACTGTCCAACCTGGAATGGTTCCAGGGATGGGGCATCGACCACCTCTTTGGGCAACCTGGGCTGGGGTCTCAGCACCCTTTTGGGTGATGTTGGATCGATTTGGATGCTACCTTTGGGTAGCATCAAGGGCATTAGCACTGGGGGTTTGTTTGGGTCTTTTTTTCAGCAGCTCCTGTTACTAGCAGATCCTCAAGCAGATGTGTGCAGTGGTCTTATCTGTCCATGTGGTCAGAGAGCTTCAATCAGTCTTCCTACACATCACCCAGAGAGCACTGTGGTGCATGTTTGGCTCCAAATAGTTAATAAACCAAGAGAGCTTTTGTCTAAAAATGTGAAGGCTTGAATGGTGTTCTCATACTAGATAGGGTTTGGCTTGAGATTTTTTTTGGGGGGTTCCTTTGGGTGGGAGAGTGTGTTTTTATAAGATTTATTTTTTTTAAGAGCTGCCCTTGGTTCCATTGGAAAACCTGCAGTAGATTTCCATCAGTTAACGCTTTTACAGATGTCAAAGATGTCAACAGATTGCAAATGTTGTTTTTATTCAAAATATTGATCCGTTGTTTACATTAAATAAACATTGAAACTGGAACAACCTGAAAGAGAATTAACCAGTCCTGTGTTCTGTGTGTGTGCTTGGTTCTCCTGGCTCTGCCCAGGGCCTGACTTGGGTGGTGGTGGGTAGTCACATCCCGAGAACACCAGCTTTGAAATGGGGAGAGGGAAGAGGGATGGGTGTTGCTCATCACTCTGCTCTTCCCAGGCTGTTGCTTGGGTATGAGCAATCAGAAAATGAAAAGGGTGAAAGTTACCTTTTTTTCCTTTCTTTTTTTAAAAAATGAGTGACACGTACGTTATGTGGTAGCATGGGGTGAAATCTGCTGAGCTGAGGGAGGAAGCTAGCTTAGGAGCTTGTGGTTTCTCAGCTTCTCTCTGGATTTGCTTCCCTGTGTGGTAGGGTCGCTCTGTTCCCATTCTCAGGCTGGGCAGAGGAAAGTGAGTTCTGGAAAAGCTGGTCTTCCTGATAAATAATGGTATTTAGCATGACGATTTTTGTAGAATTTTGTATGATAACTGAAGATCTCCAAGGTGAGATTTGTCATCTTCAGGAATTTGGAAATAATGTTGGTATTTCTCAGGCCACAGGAAAATCGATATTTTTTTTTCTCCATTTAAAATATCTTTGAATTTTTGTCATGTGTATTTGGCTGTTACTGAAGGTTTACCTCTGCCACAAGCTAAATACTCCAAGCCTAAGTGAAATTACTTGTGTGCTTAAAATTAAGCATGTGCTTAAGTGCTTTGCTTTCTATGTTCTTTATTCTCAATTAGTTTAAGGCTATGCTTGTCATATCGAATAGTAAAAAAATACCTTGAAATATTGGAGAAATGCAGAAGCTTTAGGCTGTATGTTATAATGTTCTTCTTGGTTAGAAAAAGCTGTTAAATAGTTCATCCTCATTCACTTGACAGCCTTAAATGGGATATCCCTTGGAAATTGTTTGGGGTTTGTTGCCTGTGGTGTTGGAAGAACAGTGAAGAGAACAAGAAGTGGGCAGGCCCTCATTTGTACAGAGCTGTTGTGATTTCATAGTGTTGGGGGGAAAATAAAAATGATACATGGGTCTTAAGGAAAAAGCTGTAATTTGAAACTGTTGTGGTTTGTAAAGGAGGTAGTACAATCACCCCAATAGGTGTACGGAAGGTGCCAGGGGCTCGGGGTGATTGTCTCTCTGAAATAGCAGGTACACAATTTATTTATTTTTTTTTTAAATTAATAATTAGAGGCTTTTTTCCTCCCCTCCCAGCAATGAGTGTAGACCAGAGAAGCTGCCATCCCATTCCTTTGAAATCGATCATGAAGATGTGGACAAGGATGAAGTATGTATCCCGATTTTTTGTGTTTGTTTTTTTTTTTTTTTTTCCCTGGGGGGGAGATGTTTATTACTTCAATATCAAATTAAAAACTATAATAAACACTCATTATCTGCTATAAAATATTTCATATTTTAAGTAACACTGAAGTTAGTGGAACAGCTTTGTCTCTCAGGTCCTCATGTGCCCAGCAGGCATATTAATAACATCTTATTTTAACAAGAGTGAAAGGATGATTGTTTGTTGTCAAGCAGATATTCACACATTACAATTTTCTTTCATCTTAAAATTCAGGAAGTAAGTCCATGCAATATTAATCATGTCTTTCCTACAGGATACAACATCCCACTCATCTTCCAAAGGAGGTGGTGGTGGAGGAGGAGGAGGCTTAGCAGCAGGAGTTTACAAGTCTGGATGGCTCTATAAAGGGAATTTCAACAGCACTGTGAACAACAGCATTACTGTGCGGGTAAGGGACAGCCTCCTTCCCTCTGCATTCCCTCTGGAATTATATCCCCCGAGGCACCCTTGGCTGCCCTTGTCATCTACCTGCTTATCGCTCAGCTTTGATTACATTGCTTGAAAGGATGGTGACCTCGTGCTGCAGCTGCCTGCCAAACAGGGCGACTCAAGTGCAGTTGGGCATTATGTAAACCCCGTGAATAAACTATAAGTGAAAATAACCTGCAGTATAACCATTACCCTTCTTTTTTTTCCCCCCACTTCAGTCATTCAAAAAGCGCTACTTCCAGCTGACGCAGTTGTCGGATAGCTCGTATATTATGAATTTTTATAAAGATGAAAAAATATCCAAGGAGCCAAAGGGATGTATTTTCTTGGATTCTTGTACAGGAGTCGTGCAGGTAAGTTTGAGTTTATTTCGTTGTATTTTTTGGGTGTCAGTTAAATTTTAAAAGGCAGGTTGAAGAATACATGCATCGATGGAGCAGTGGTCTCATTAGCAGGTTCATGACATGAAAACACCATTAGTGTTCCTCTTTAAATTGGTGCAGGCACTCAGACTGACAGGTCACAAAACTCACAGTTCAGTTATGGTAACAGATCACACATATGCTCTTTGCCCATGGCTCACAGGAGAAAAAATATCCTAAAATGTTCCTTTTCAGGGAAGTTATTTTCTTAGCTGCCAGTTTTTGCCTCATGCTTGCTAAAAGAGCATTCACTTCTTGTGGGTTAAAGAGACTCGGGTTACAAAGCATTTGTTGGGCAAGTGGTAAACTGATCCTGTATCCTGAGCCTCCTTGGAGCTCATCACTTTTGGAGGTGAGAGAGTCTTCCAGGCAGCAGGTAGGACAGAGACTTAGTGTTTATTTTGTCTTGGAAAAAAAAAGAGCCTGAAATACCTGACACTGCCTTTTTTTTTGTACTCCCTAAGGCTGAGTTCTTAGGTTTTTCCCTCCTCTTGCTCTGCCTTGCCTTTAATTCTGTTAATGTATTCCTCTTTTTTATTTTTTTCTTTCTTTTATCCATTCTAAACAAGATGTTATATTGAACAATGTGTTACTGCGTTTGATTTAGTCCCATGTGTCACTAAATAAGGCAATTCCTTTTTTTTAATCTATGCTTTATTCTTTATCACATGACCAATAAAGATTGAAAAGAGTACTAGTGCAGGCTGTTTTGAAGGTTGCTTTGAGTGAAACCTTTCAGGTCATGCAGGGGATGCCCCTTGATAAACACAAGCTTTTGTTGCTTGGGAGGTCTCTCCTTCACCCCTGAACAGGCCCTTTTGGAGCAAGAAAAATCATCAGTAATTCACTCTGGGAGCCAATAAGCCAATATTTGCTGGCAGCCCCCTGCAGAACCTCATTCTTGCACCCAGGAATGTGCTCAGCTCTGTAAGGAATCGCTGTGTCCCCTGCGTAGATCAAAAGGGTGTTTCTGTTTTCAAACAGGTGTAGGACAGGATGGAGTTAAATGTGTAGAAGGACAATGATGTTTGCCTGGGTGAGTCCATTGAAAGATTGAAAGACCCTAACAGGTAGATTGGAAGCGTGGCCGAAGCCATAGGGAAGATTCTTACCCAGAAACCCTGTTGAGAAGTTGCTGAGTGCTCCTGCTTGCTGGCAGTGTGTGCTTGCTTTTAAGATGGGTCCAAACCAGAGCTCGAGCTAAGCTCTGTAGCATGGTTTTGGGTACAGATTTAATGCAATCCTGGAGGATACCTGTTCTGCTGTGGTGTTTCTGATGACATTCCATGACAGCAGAAATGTCTTCACTGCAAGATTTCTGGCCTCTTTGTCTAGCCTTTGACCAAAAAGCTCAAGAAAGCTTGGAAATCCTCCTCCTGAACTTGGCCAGCCACCTCCTAAATCTACAGTAATTGTCCCAAGCTGTCTGAACTGTATGTTCTCTTCTCGCCTACCCCCAGACAGTAGTTTGGGTTGTTTTCCTTTGACATCTAGAATGTGATGCACAAATTTATGAGTTATCTGCACTAGTGAGAAGTGAGCACCTTAGCAGAGGAGGGGGTAATACGGTGAATATCATCAGCTGTCAAAGCCTGTGATGAACCTAAAATCATGGGGCTGAAAACAGAAACCTGGCTGAGAGTTGCCATAAGCAGGGAGACAATACAAAGTGGAGAGAATTGGATAAAACTTCAGATCAAAAGGAAAACTGTGTTGTGAAAGTTTGGATTTAATGAATTTTATTACTGCTATAAATCGTTTAACTCGCTATGAATGACTTTGAGCTCCTGTTTGATAGGGGTTGAATATATAAATTGTAGTAAACATCCTGGAGAAGTAATCTCCAGATAAAATACAAAATACTTCCAAAACAATTCTATTATTTTGGAAGAATGACCCTGCAGGCATTAGACTTGATGTTTCATTTATAGCTCATCCATAGTTTCTTTTGGAATCTTGTGTTGTTCCCTTCTGGAAGAAATTTTAAGCCTGAAATTAAGTGTTGAAGATTACAAGCCAACCTCAGGGTCCACATACCATATGGAAGGACTTACAGAGAAGCAAACTGAGAAATGGTGCTTTTTTTTTTTTTTTTTTTTTTCCCTGTTAACTGATCAGGAAGAAAATAGCTGGCTTTGGATTTGAAACAGAGACTTTGCTGTAGATCTCATCTGCTTGCCAGAAGTCTGAAGTGCAGATGGAAAAGTGGATATTGAAGTTTTCCTGCCCTAATGTTCTTAAGATTCAGCATACGAGAAGTATTGCTCTATTAGATAATGTCTCATGGTGTTACAGTACCTGGTTTAAAGGTCTTGGCCATGTCTGTAAGGGGAAGTGCATAATATGGACAAGAGATGCATTCCTCTTAATGTGCTTTGTACTTTCTGGAGATAAATGGAAACGTAGCATTTTTCTTTACAGATTGTGCATAAATAAGTGTACATAATCCATTTATACCAATAATCTCTCTTTAAAAATTTTAACTGGCCACCACCAGTTCTTGGCATAGTTTTGTTCAACTTGTAGTTCTTGGTCTAGCCCTCATGCTTTGTGTAGTATAAACAGGTTCTAGTGAAATTTTAGTCCTTATTTTACATTAATTTGAGGGTATGTGGTGATTGGAGGATTAGAGTGAATTCAGGATCAAGAAAAATACTGGACGCCTAAGAATCAATAGCTACAAAACCTAACCCTGTTCTTCCCCTGTTTTGAGTGGACTGAAGTTTATATCCCTGGAAAAGAAAACTCAATAAAGTACTTGAGAGAAGAACTATTTCCTAGCAAGAGAATTTCCAGTAGCAGAACTAAAATATAACACACACGCTTGAACATACACAAAACCAATCCCAAGTCAGCCTGAAAAGCCAAGATTTGACTGACTCTGACCCGAGTAGCTCCAGAAGAAGCTGTTCAGTCATAACTGATTCCTGAGCTGGGTCATGACATGTATTATAAGGACTGGAGCAAGTGATTAACAACAGATTGGGCAGGAATCTTCAAAATCATCTCTGCTGCTGGAAAAACAGTGCTCATGGAACTTTCTTCTTAGTGTCTTGGGTTCTTGGTCTCCTCTGCTAATCAGTATCAGATTTTGCCTCTGTTCCTCCTAAATAAAAATCTATCACTATCATCCCACCATCTGGTTTAGAATCTATTCTTAGTAACTTGTTGATACAGGACTGTACTGAGAGATGGTTATAGTACATGGAACTACAGGATTCCATTGCTTTGTTATTTGAGACTGTTAATGAGGAAAAACATATATGAGTGAAATGACCAGCTCTGGGGTGGACGGATTGGTCTTCATTTGCCAGCATCACTCCAAGACTTGATGTGTCAACAAAGTGATGGCAATATTCTGGAATATTGAAAACCAAATGGTGGCACTGATGTCCCTAGGTAGTGGCTGTCAAGCTTTGATGGAGTGCTGCAGGTAGGACGCATCAGTGTTCTCTCAGGTTTAAGCAAGGAGGGAGACAATGCAACTGCTTCCATAAGACTAAGAGATAAAAGCCTCACTAATTTTATAAGTTTGAGCAATGAAACACATTATATTAGATCAAGTCACTTGTTTAATTTTATTGAGCTGTTTCAGTACCTAAGCACCTGTTAATTCTTAGGACAGAAATTGAATGGATTAACCATCTCCTGTAGGTCACATCTGGTGATGCAGAACAGATCTTGGAACTCAATCTGGTGCCAGTATACTGGGCATTGGTTCCTGCTCTCTGCTTGAAAAGGACAGCCTTGCAATGACTGAACAGCACCGTGCCTCACCTTGTGCCTCCTGCAAAGAATTGTTGAAATGGCCTAAAGTAATATTTAAATCCTTCTAAGACAAAGGTGGCAGGAGGAAGGACTCACGTGGAGGGGTTTGTCCCATTTTAATCTTCTGGAGAGATTTAGTGGTTAAACTCTACTCCAAGTTTAGACTCGTATCATCCAGAAGCTCTTTCATAAAAATACAAAAAGAATAAAATTATGCAAAAATGTTCTTAGCCTAGCCACAATATTTCTAACTTCATTAGACGCTCAGAAATTGTTGCCTTTATGTAGCTTGTTGACAGCATGTGTAAACATCTCAAAACAGCTGATTTTATAAATTGTTCATAATTAACTTTGAAGAGCCTGTTCAGGTCCAGCCTCAGCAGAGATTTGATTGCATGCTGACTTTGCTTGTTTGAGTTTGGTGAACTCAGTCGTGTTCCTACTGAGCAAATATTTGTATGACTTAGCACGACTCAGTATCTTTTGGTGTGTCTGGTGTGCTGATAAAGGTGTAGGAGACTTGGGCTTTAGAGATGTTCTCTCCAGACAACCCACATAGCAATGCTGTATTTCACCATCAGAGCTCTTTCATTATCCACTTGGGAGATGCTCCCTTCTGTAGTTTGAAGTGCTGTCCGTAGTTGTAGATTCTGTGGGTAAATAGATGATGTGTATTTGGCCATAGAAGAACTTAGATGCTCAAAGACCCAACAATAAATTGACATGAATTTGCATTAATATCACACTACTTGGATTTTCTTTAAACCCACTGAATTTTGCTTGAATGTTGTTTCTGAGCAGTGGCCCTATACAACTCCATCTTATAGATTCCTTTTTCAGTATTATTTTATAATTAGTTCTAGCTTTTATTTTTCTTTTCGTTTTGTCCCAACAGAATAACAGGCTCAGGAAACATGCCTTTGAGCTGAAAATGAATGACCTCACATACTTTGTGCTGGCAGCTGAAAATGAGCAGGATATGGATGACTGGATTTTCACTCTCAACAAAATCCTGCAAATAAATCCCGAGGGGACTGTTCAGGAGAGGAAAAGTGCAGATCTCACCGATCTGAAACTTGGTAAGAGTGAATAGTCTCTTGCATCGTTTTTTTTTTTTATTTTATTTTTATCAAGTGCAAAATATTGAGCCTTCAGCTCTCACTATTGAATCATTTTACCTGCCTGGGTCTGCAATAGGTTCTGCAGCAATGGATTTCTGCCCAAGCAGCGCCAGTCTCTTGGCAGTCCCCGGGTGCCATCAGCTGCCTCCCCATGGATCGTTTCCAGAGGAGGGGGGCAGGTAAAGCTGCTCCCCACAAAGTCGACAGGAGCACCGTGGCTCTGCTCAGCAAGTGCAGTTCTGCTTCAGATCCAGTCCTCCTCGCCAGCGAGCGAGCTAGTGCTGTGTGCTCAGATTCTGAAGGGTTTTAAAGAGTTTTGTGCTGTAGAGAGGCTAAACCAGTCCTTTTTCTAGCGTTTTGTTTTCTTTAAAAATCTGGAGTTAATAATGTAAAAAAAAAAAAATCCAGGCTGTGGTACATTTGCTCTTCCCCTGGGAGCTTTTTGCCTTTTCATTCCTTTCTTCTGTGAGTTTGTGTATTAATATCCTTTCACCGTGGAAGAAAGAGTTGGGTGCTCTGTTATACTGCACTCTTCATGTGGCAGTAACTCATTCCTCCACATAATAAATCCACATTCTGTTTGGATCAATCCCAGATGAAATTCTAAGACTGAAAATGCTTGAAACCTTAATACAGATTTGAACTGCTTGCGCTCTGAGATGAATCAAAGCTTTGAATCCACATGCATCTGAATTTTAGGGAAGCTCAGAGCTAATTGAAGGCTTTAGCCTAGTGTTTATAAGAAACTCTGATTTTGAAGGGACAGGATGCTCTCCATATAGCCAAATATGTATTTTATAATTTGGAAGCACAAGAGACTTTCACTTCAGAATCAGAGAAGTACTTTTGAAAATCCCACCCATAAGGAATATTAATGAAATAGGAAGAAGTATGTGCATAAAAGGTCAAAGACATAAGGCTAACAGAAAACAGAAGTCTCCACTGGTAAAAACCCTGATAACAAGCACCAGGAATGTGCTATGGAGTTAACTTGTCAAAAGGCATGAAGCTGCCTTGGCAGAGGAGCCCTGAGTGGCTGTAATGCTTAGTTCCCACTGGGCTGAGTTACCTTGTGAGAGCAGAACAGTGCCTGGGCAGCTGAGCAGAGCAGAGGGGTTGCTGTTTAGTGCTGCTCTCCAGATCCCGAGAACTGCAGCTCCTGGAGCCCAGGCTGCATCCCTCCCTTCCCCAAAGAGCAGGCAAGGTCCTGCATGCCTCACTGAAGGCTCCATTTACTGAGGGTCCAAAGCCTTTCGGTTGGCATAAGCCCTTGGTGTTGCATTGGAGGGGACTGAGAGAGCAGAGGAAGGTGCCTTTGTTGTGGGTGTGTTCGTCATTGGGTGAGTGTGTCAGATCTTCCACTCAGTCAAGTCAGGCCTTGTGTTTGTAAGCTTAAATCTAGAGCAAGTTACAGTAAGCACCAGTGGGAGAGGAGGTTGAGGAGGACAGGGATTACATCGGTATCTCTTCCATTTGTTAGCCTGATGATACTAAATGGAATAAAAAGAAATAGCACAGGGAAAGATTTATTTTTTTTTAAACCCAATGGCAAAAGCAAATATAATAAAAACATTTGCCTATTTTTTCCTTGTGTTCAAGACCCTGCAGAAGTTTCGGTGAATTATGACTGCTCTCAGGAAGAGACTGATTCTTCAGAAAACACCTTGCATCCAGACTTTGCAAAAGTAAGGGATGTTACATTTCTCTTTACATGCTTAGCAGGAAGTGAAAAATGCCTCCTAATAGGTGATCATGAATGTTGTGAAAGGTTTGAAAACGTAGCACAGCCTGTTGTGATTGTCAGAGCCATGACAAAGGACAGGAATAATTTTCATTCTGAACAGCTTTGTTGAAATGAAATAAGCTCCACTGGATGTAAAGAAAGTAGGTGCTCCCTAGAGTGGTTTAATTTAGACCTGTGAAGTCAGTAAGGATTTGGTTCCTGCAGTTATCTGTGAAATATTTCCTCTTTTTAACTGCATTTCAGAAGAGTTTGGCCCTTGGAGAGCCAAGATTTCCTCTGTGACTTGGAAGGGAACAAGCTGTGAACTGCTCAACCCCTTCTGTAATTTCATTGAAAGATGCATGTGGTGTCAGGGGAGGCATTTTGTCCTCTGGATCTCATCAGCTGCTTTGTGTGGAGGAGATAATCGTAGACGGTGCTAAGAAGCTTTTTGATGAAAAGCTAGATTGGAAATATTTCACTGCTTTTTCTTAAATAAACGTACAATCTGTTTGTAATCTTCTGTCAGTGAGCTGCTATAGATACTATCTCCTTACACAGCCAAATGCTGTTTGAGGATGTTACTCCCACAGATTTGAGCTGAAAGTGAGGACAGAATTTGGTCTACATTTTACCATAGGTTGTATTCATTTTCATGAAGTGTTCACCTAGAAATTAAAAAAAGAAACAAACAAACAAAATGAAAAAACGAAATAATAACAACACTTAATGTGTGTCAGCAATGTTGTGCTATTGTGAAAAACTCAAAGTGTTGGATGGAACCTGAACAAGAGCATAGCCTGTACCATGTCAGCCAAGGTGGGTACTCAGTCTTGGGCAACCAGGAAAATTGTGGACTCGTGGCTCAGAGATTGGAAAATAAAGAAAAGTAAGTAAAAATGAAGTGCAAAGAAGACTGAAGGTATTGAACATGTTTAGACTGAGAAGAAAGGTTTCAAAGATACCATGAAGGATCTGTAAGGGGAAGGGAATGTGCAGGGCATACTTCATATGTTGGAGGAACAGCCTTGAATAGTGGGGGAAAAATTATCTACAGGTAGGCATAAGGATAAACTTCTAAAAGGCAGAGTTGGGAAGCACTATGTGGCTTTGGGAGGTTGTTGAGTTGGTTTTGTCAGAGAGCTTATTATTAACTTAGGCGTGTGTTGGTCAGAAATAAAATGGATATGACTGATGCTGGCTTGTGGTGGGTGGGGGGATGGATGGATGGATGGATGGATGGATGGATGGATGGATGGATGGGGAGAAGACTCCCAGCCTCACCTTTGGGTGCCATGCTGCATTAAGGCCAACGTACACTTCCCTGCTCCCCTTTCTGCCCTCCGCTGACAGGGGGGGGGTTTCTGTGGGGCTGGGTTTTGGTTTTTACTCAACTTGAGAATCCCTAAAGTGATTGTAGTACAATGATCCACTCTTCTGACATCTTACACAATGGGTTTTTTAGTAACATATATGAACTTGCATTACTTCACTGATCTATTTTGGGGTTTTTTAGGAGTATATCATAGCCTGAAAATCACTGCTTCACAAGCACATAACCTTCAAGGTGTTCTTGAAGGTGCTTTGGGATAATTGCTGCTGAAATGAGAAGTGTTATTTGAAGTGAAACATTGATCATTCATTTAGAAGTCTAACAACTCTATGGATTCCTGTGCTTGTGCAGACAACTAATTTATTATCTGTCACCACAGTACATCACAGAAACAGAAGAAACAGTGAAAGCCTCTCGAAATGCAGAGCGACTGAATCTTTTCTCTTTGGATCCTGATATAGTAGTAAGTCATTTATTTTTTTCCAAGTTCTTAGCAGTTTTAAAATACAGTGGTTTGAGCTAACAGTGTTAGCTAAGCCACCAGAGCGTGCTGAGTCCAGGAAGCAGCTGGGCATACTTGAGATGTCAGCTCTGAAGGGTGAGGAGAACTATCCATTGAGATTTCTGCAGACATTCTGTTCATATCTGATCATGGAATGGCCAGGGATGGAAGTGACCTCTGGAGGTCATCTAGTCCAGTCTAGCTAAACTTGGAATCGTTAAAGCAAACTGCAAATATTACAGGAGGAAAACCTTCCCTTGGACTGGGAATGTTACAGGGACATTTTTTTACTGTTAGTAATTTCACTGAACTTGACTTAAAAATGGCAACTACATATAAAAAGCAGTGGGAGGGTGCAGTTGGAGATACAAAAGGCTGTCGATGTGAAAAATTGCGTAGGTGGAAAGGCAGGAGTTCACTTTTCTTTTTATCTTAAACATCTTTATCATTTAGTGTCAGAGTTCATGATTCAAAGAATTCAAAGAACCCTTGCACTGGAGGTACGTTTGTCGGTGGTTCAACTGGAAATTTCATTTTAATTAAAAAGACTGAAGTAAATTTTGGATCAGCATATATTCAACCTAGAACTTGTTGTCAGTTAATGGTAGTGCCATTATTAAAAATATTAAGTGAATTGAAACAGTGCTGTGGTGTATAAGTGAGGGGAAAGGAGGGGAAAGTCTGAAGCCTGATCCCTAAATGTAGTGTTATAGTCTGAAAGTATGAGGCTATTTAATCTGTACAAAGAAATTACAAGCTGAAGTTCCAGAAGCAGTAATTAACAAAGAAAAAAATCTGTTCTAAAATTATAAGTAACTTAACTTGGATCCCTAAATATCTGTGTTAAGTCTTTTGCCTTTGCTTCCTAATCTAGAAATTAGGAATAACACTCATTGGCTGTGGTAGTGTAAAGGTATCAGCAGTGACTTGTGGAGGGTTTTGGGTGCTTCAGTGAATGTCAAGACTTCAAAAAATATCCTTACTTTTGGAATGCCAAGCTTTTCCTGTGTGTGATGAATTGCCCAACTTATTTCAGTCACTGAATCCTCAGAAAAAGGAGTTTCCAGGGTCAAACTCGGTGCTCAAGCCATTTGAAGAAAAGCCTGCAAAGAGGATCCTGATAACTTGCAAATCCCTCAGTTTGAATCTCCAGGCCTGTGTTACTGAAAATGAAAATGATCCTGCAACCAATGTAAGCTGTGCTTATTTCCTGGTCATTTTTCTTTCTCTTTGTTTTTCCTTTTTTCTGTTTTTCTGTGTGCTTGTTAGTTTGGAAAGAGGAGGTAAAAGGGAAGCTGTACCACACACGTGTGCTGCCTTCACTCCTCCTTCTCTGCCCATCCCTTTGGACGGGATAATGAAGCTGATGAACTATTCAATAAACACTTTGAAGCTGATCTCATTTGCAAACTTTTAGCTACAGTCCATGGGGAATTAAATGTGTTCAAGCCTTTGAGGATCCTTAACAATTGCTATAAGAAAAATAAGTTAAAACTGCCAAGACCTTTGTGGTAAGGCAACTGAATGTAGGTTACTGGTGAACTGTTGTTTTGGGTATTTTTGAGAGAGACCAGGACCCAAACAGCTTAAAGTACAGAAGAGAAGGCAAAATAGAAAGAACAGGATGCTTCCTCTAGTAGAAAAGTCCACCTAAAAACAGCCAAAAAATTTTGCTTACTTTAAGAAAAAAGGGCAGGGAAAAGATGTAGCTGTCAGTCCATAGCTTTTAGTTCTCCTCTGAAGCAGAGAACTTCTGAGAAATCTGTCCTGGCAACTCGACTTTCATACATTACATATGAGGCATTGATTTATTTTTTTTTTAATTGTTTTTTTTTTTTCATTTGAAGATGACCTCTACAGTGAGTGCATATTCAGCACGATGTGGTCAATACTCTTTTTTTGGCAGACTGCAATAACTGTTTAAATGAAGTCATGATAACTGTACCAAGGGCATGCAATAATTCACTACAGAGGCTGAATAAGCAGAGGATATTGTACCTGCCCTGCATTGCTCTTTACCTCCAAAGTTTTAAGATTCTGATTTCTGTACAGCTCAGAAGGTGTTATTCTGAGACCAATTTATTTCATCCAAACTATGGAGCCTCTTTGGAGGTTACTTACAGTCATAGGACTTAATGTCCTGGTACTATGCAATAGAATAAGTGGGTACTGTCAGAGCAGTTGGAATGCTTTTGGTTTCCCAGCAAAATGGACCACATGTTTCCCACAGAATAATACACCCACGCATTTGTGATTCTACCAGTAAACTTCTTTTGTCCACTAAAATTTGTCATCTCTGTGCCACATTTCTGACGATCCCTGAAAAACCCATCCTCACTCTCCTTTCCTTTACAATGTCTCTGAATCTACATTTTAAAAATCCTGTTATCTGTTGCTGTGGGACTCTATTTGTTTATTCTAACAATCATCTGTGAGAAATACATTTGTTCTTTATTCTGTGAGCTTTTAAGTCAGCTGTCAATTACTGTTTTGCTGCATTCTTAACAAACTACCTTTAAAAGCCCCTGAAATCACATGTTTGGAAACTAACTTGGGCAGGGGCGTGTGAATGTGTCTTTTTAATGACTCCCATAATATGTAAATAATAGTTATTTGCTTTCTTTTTTTCTAGCTCCAGGAACCTTCCAAAGGATAGATTTTACCCCCTTGCTCTCAGTTAGGGCTGTATTATGTTTCTGGTGTTTTCTCCAGGTAGAGCCTTTCTTCGTGAGCGTGGCACTGTATGATGTCAGGGATGGCAGGAAGATCTCTGCTGATTTTCACGTGGATTTGAACCACACCCTCGTTAGACAGATGATTTCAGGTTCCTCATTTTCATTAGAAAATGGCTCTGTTGAAAATGCAGACTCAAATGAAATGGAAGAACCACAGGTCAAGGGGTTCCCAGAAGAGTGGCTGAAGTACCCAAAACAGGTATTCCATGTGTGGCTTGCGTGACTGAGTGACTCGAGATTTATTTTAGTTCGGTTATAGCAGCATTTTTGTCAGAGAATTTATCTGTACTACCAGTGGTCCTTGTTTTCAAGGATACTCCTTTTTTCATGTAGCTGTGATATTTATATATAGATGCTTGATTTTTAGGTCCCTGTGTGGACTTTTAAAGCCATTTACAATCAAAACTTTGAAAAAAGGTAGGGTCCTTTAGAGAAACCACCCATGTTTCCTGTAGTCTTTGTGTTCATTTGCTGACCTCTCCCAAACCAGCCAAACAAAACTGCAATGTAATTTTGCAGTTTTGCAACCCCTAGATGCTGCCTTAGTCTCCAGGTACTTCCACGTTCTTGCTGTTGCTGGAAGCCTTGCCCCAGAACCCCACACATTACCTTTTCATCTCCCTGCCATTCCCCCAAGGTGTGACTGACCTAGGGCAGCCTTTCAGGACTGTCCAAGAGGAACAGTTGGGTTAGGTGATGCTGATGTGCTTCTTGACTCAAGTCAGTCTGTTTGTAGGGTGCTGCATGTGCACAAGCTCCCTTCAGCACTAGCACAGAGATTTTATTTTCCTTCTGGTGATACTGAATACACAGAGATAATAATCTTCAGTAATCCTTTCTGAATTGGGGCTGTTGTCATTTCCATCAGCGGAGAGCACTGGCACTATTTAATATCTCCAGTGTTGCTAGATACATTTTAACTGTTCTCTCTTTTCTCCACAGGCTCTTTTCTCCATAAGTAATCCTCACTCTGAGATCGTATTAGTGGCAAAAATAGAAAAGGTGCTTACAGGAAACATTGCCAGCAGTGCTGAGCCTTACATTAAGAATCCTGACTCTGTAAAGGTAACATAGCAGGAACATCAGTTCCATCTTTGTCAGCATCAGCCTCTCGGGAGCTGAAGGCTTTGCAGACCTCCCACTGTGTGGGTGCTGGAGAGGATGAACTCAGAGGAGGCCTGGGCCTCAGCAGGCAGGTGTCCAGGCTCCACTGGCTGGCTGACTGGAGTACCATGTTGTCTGCAGCCCACGAGTCCAGGCGTTGTGCTTCCCTGTGCTCCTTAGCTCCTAGCAGAGGGAAAAGCCCTTTCAGCCCTCCCTTAGGACCAATGAGTTGGTGCCCCTCGAGGAGGAGCAGAGCTGGGTAGGTACCTGTTTCTCTCAGAGAGCAGGCAGTGCCCCTGCTTTGGGCACCTTATGGAGTGGCATAATACCTGCAGCTAATGCAGTTCTGACTGAAAGGCTCTGAAGGGGTCTGTTTCAGCAGCAGCAGGAGGTTCATCTGCCATGGCTTTGCTGTCTGCCCAGAACCTTCTGTTATTGGCAGCCTCACGCTACATTATTTTAGGGGTGCTTCAGCAGAGAGCATGGATGTGCTCTCTGTGCTGCCTTTCAGAGATTATAATGATATGGAGGAAATAATTTGTATTTTCTTTTTTTTTTTAGTGTGCACAGAAAGTGTTAAAATCCAATAAACAGTTCTGCAGCAAGCTGGGGAAGTACCGTATGCCGTTTGCTTGGTCAGTGAGGTATGTATGAATTCTTTTCATAAATTTATAAGCATCTTATAGATTATTCTGCTCTTGGACTTGTATCCTTTTATTCTTTTCTACTTTTTCTGCCTGAAGCTAAGCAAAGCTGTCTCAGTGGTCCAAGACCCCAAAGGATCCTGCAGCTTTATTATTTCATTGCCCTATTTTTCGCACAGCTGAACGCTGGTTACTTTCTCATTAAATGTTACTGTGGTCGAATCTTTTCTTCAGGTATGTAGTGAAGTTGCCAGGGAGTAGCAAATGCAGCTGACAGAATGTCAATTTATCATGAGCTCCACCAGTGATTCGGTGCTAAAAATCACCAAAGAGATTTTGAAGTCACAGTTCTCACAAGAATTTCCGACAAAGATAGATATGTTCTGAAACAGGGTTGCAATGGCCACCTAAAATACTGGTGCACAGGTCTGAAGCTCTATTCTTACTGTGATGCCTGTCAGATTTTAGGAAAAAACCTAACAGAGGATTTGGAGGTTTTGGTGCCCCTAAGACAGTGCCCTGGGAGTGATATTGAGGAACTGTGCTTCAGGTCCTCTTGCATTTTCAGTGGTCAGTAGGTGACTGAGAGCTGCTATTTTCTTGTGTGGCAGGTCAGTTGGGTTTTATTGCAGGTCTGTGCAGTGGCAGTAATGGATTTTTGTTTTTACACTCTCCTCCCAGATAATTTCTTGCTGGTCTCACCAGGTTGAAATGTGAGACTTCTCCAACCTAAATGATTCTTCGATTCTGTCTTCAGCAAATCTCTCACAGTGTTTCTTGGGAAAAAAAAAATCTAACCAAAACAGGTTCTTGTCTTATTTTGTTTATCAGTTCTTAAACTTTTTTATTATAAATCACATTATGAAATAACATGGTTTAAAAACATTGACCACATACATGTGTGTAGAAACCTGTTGGTATCAGTGACGTTGCACAAGGAATTTATTTAGTTCATTGGGTCAAATTCTGCAGTCAGTTACATCTGTTTATGTATTAACATTACTCAGGACTCTCTTTGGTAAAAGTGAAGTACAATTTGGCCCTGTAAAATCTATTTCTATTTTCACAGCTTGAAAATAGAAGTTTCCACAGGAGACTATCGCACTACAGGGGAAAAAAATGATTTGGCTCTGATAAGTAGCAAAATCCTGGGTTTGGAAATGTGTTTTCCAGTTATTTCATTCTGGCTCTAACCACACTCCTGGTTTTGTATGGAAATTTTCCCCACTTTAAGCAGTTACAGATGGCCACAGTGAGATTTTTACGTATGCGTTCGGCGAGCCAAAATCTTGACAGTTGAGTGTTGTGGATGGGAGTGAAGCTCTTAATTAGCTCGTGTGGCATCCGGCTCGTTCAGGCGTCACCCAGAAGTGTGACTCAGGGTTCCTCCCTGCTTTCTGCCTGGCGTTGGTGGGATCTGGTGTCTGTAAGCTCACGCAGGTATAATTAGAGGATGTGTTAGAATTACAGCCTGTCAAATCCATCTCCCATTCTCATATTCCTGCCAGAGCTGCCAAAGTTTGCAAATATGTGCCTGAGCTACATATTGTAGATGTGGGGAAACTTCACTCCCAGGGATGAGTTTTTACACTATTTGTATTTTCCAAACTTTCTCCACCCTCGTAAACTTCATGTTTTAGCCTCACATTGGAATCCTGCAGCATCTTGTGCAGCTGCTGGTCTGGTTCTCAGCTGGTGTAGGTCAGTGTAGCTGAAGGTAGGATGGCTGCACTGATCTGCAGTAGCTGCAGGTCTCATGCTGATTAGCTAGTCCTGGGGGTGAGCAATGCTTCTACAAATTGTAAGCTACTACTTTAAAAGTAGCTTATTCAATGTTAAATTGTGAAGATTCTCTAGGTTTTCTATGCTTAAAGAATTTTTATGATTGTGGACTATCAGCTCACAATGTCAGAATAGTAGAGTCTTAGGATTATAGAATGGTTTTGGGCTGGAAGAGACCTTAAAGATCATCCAGCTGCAACCCCCCTGCCATGGGCAGGGACACCTCCCACTAGACCAGGTTGCTCAAAGCCTCCTCCAACCTGGTCTTGAACAGCTCCAGTGATGGAGCATCCACAACTTCCCTGGCAACTTGTTGCAGTGTCTCACCACCCTCAGAGTGAACTTCTCCCTCATTTCTAGTATAAATCTCCCCTCTTCCAGTCTGAAGCCATTACCCCTTGTCTGATCACTACAAGCCCTTACAAAAAGTTAGATACTGTAAGGCCACAAGAAGGTCTCCCTGGAGCTTCTCTTCTCCAGGCTGAACAGCCCCAACTCTCTCAGCCTCTCCTCATAGACAAGATGTTCCAGCCCTCAGATCATCTTCATGGCTCTCCCTGAGACCCACTCCAATAGATCTATGTCCTTCTTGTGGTAGGGGCTCCAGAGCCAGACCCAGCACTGCAGGTAGGGTCTCATGTGAGTGGAGTAGAGGAGGAACACTTTAAAGACTGAGGTGATATTTCAGTTTCTTTAATGGAATCTTTGTTTGTTTCCCCCTAACTGAAGACCTTCAAAATTTCTTCAGAATATTAGTTCAAAGAAATTTTTCATATTAAAATCACTCTGGTAAATAAGTAACAGTCAGTAAGGAGTCATTAATACATTAGGCAAAAATTTGACTCCTGGATTGCAGAAGGGTTTTATTACATTTCAGTTTGATTGGTGTGACAGTTTTCATTCTGAGATGCCTTTGGTATATTCATTGTGACAGGAGCACTCTCACTCCACCTGCACCCAGCAGCCTGAAAGGATCTACCAAAACAGGGTTTTGGTCACTTAACTGCAGATGTAATCCATGGAATACTGGCTGCTCCAGCAGCTCTTCAGCTTTAATGAGCCAGGGGAGTGGAGACACCAGAACAGTCTGACCAGCAGAAAGCCATCTAACTCTTGCTTGAGTGCACAAAATGTACTTGGTTTTAGGAAGGGTTATATTATTTTCAATGGACATCTTAATTGCTCTTGTAGTGGAAGAGAGCTTTACATAAATGGAGTACTGTGTGTAAGTCGGAGGGATAAAAGTGCTTGCTTGGTTTGTATGGTGGATAGATGCTCTCATGCCTTGAATTTTGTCCTGGGTGTATTATTCAGGCTGGGATTTGGTGCTGGACTGATGAAGAGCAGTTCTAGAGGTTGGTTATGCGGTACCCAGGGAGCACTGATGCTGGGGAGGGTGGTTGTAGGCAGGAGGACTCTGCAAAGCCCTTCTGACTGCAGACCAGAGTGGCCAGAGCTGATGGTGCTGTATCCCTGAGCCTCTCGGGAGGCACCACTGACCCAGAGTGAGCTGGTTCCAGCACAGACCTCCTGCTTTCCCCTTTCACACTGTGGACATCCCCAGCCCTGCCTTGGGAAGTGCCCCTGCACCCTGGGGTGCCGAGTGGAGGTTTGCTCAGTCTCAAAGCCTGCTCTGGAGTTCGTCAGCTGAGCAGCCTGGGCTTGCTCAGCATCACCTTGCAGAGGCTGAATCACTCCCTGGATGCTTTACTCCTCTCCATTATTCTGAAGAAGGAAGCAGTGCAGAGTCCAAGACAAATCATAGTGTCACCAGGACTGCAGTAATTATTAAATCTTACCTTTTTTTATCCTTTTTTTTTTTTTTTTTTCCTGACAACAGTTTAATAGGATTTGTAAAGTTGTGGCTGCCAGAAATTAGGAATTAGGTCTGGCTTCTCCCTAGTAACTTAAGATTTTTGACATGGCGTGTTGGTGTGGCCCTTACTCCCTCTAACTGCTGGAGGCAAAAATCTGATAGAAGAGAGTGGATTATTCTCTGCTGTTACAAAGAAATAAAATAGTGGTGCTTCTCTCAGTTAATTAAGTTAAGACACGGTGCATTTATACTTATCCTTGGGATCCTTTTCCAAAGGTTTACTCCATTATTTTGCATCTGGCAACAATTTGTGCTGGCATCAATTCTTCTTCTCACTGGCAGTGGAACAGAGAAGTAAATTAAGGAAGCGAGATTGGCCAAATGATTCACAGAACAGCACTTAGTGTCAAGAACATTTTACTTTTGTTAAGCAATGTTTTTGCATCCTACAGTCGAATCCAAGGTTCATTAATTTGGATAGCTGTTACATTATCCAGTCCAGCCAGCGTGTGTGACCCTTGGGGATAGACAAAGGGCACTGGAACGTTTTAATTAAATCCTACAAGTGTCAATGAGCAGGGATGGAAATATCTGGGAATGTTTTCCTGTGCACCCAGCAGCTGATACGTATTGTTCCAAGTTCTAGCTGGATATCCTTTTTTTTCCATTTCATTTGGCACTTTGTAGCTGATTCACCAAAAATTGAGTCGCCGCTCCACAGCATTGTTTACTGAAGGAAAACTAAGGCCCAGAGAGCTGGTGTCATACTGCTGGAGGACAGGCACCAGATTGAGTGCATGAGAGGGTTCTGCAGAGGTCTCCAACCTCATGCTGTAGAAGCACATGTTGTTTCACGTTGTGGGGAGGTGGTGGCTTTCTGGTGTGAAGCTCTGCAGCAAGCCCTTGAATCTGTGTCAGAATTCATAGCGTGGCCTTGTTAACAGATTATATGACAATTTCCAGTGTTCATGTGTGTGGGGGTGAGTGTTTATAAACATGTCATTTTTGTTTCTTTATAGGCCAGTGTTTAAAGATAATCAGGGAAATGTTGACAGAGACTCCCGATTCTCACCTTTATTCAGGCAAGAGAGTAATAAAATTTCCATGGAAGATTTGATTAAACTAATAGCAGAATACAGGAGGTAAGGAACAGTTTTTAAGTTGGTTTGAGAAGGAATAAAAGTGTTATACTATATAAAAGTGTGAAGGAATAAAAGTGTGCAGAATTATTTTGACCACTTTTTTTTCTTCATTTAACACAGTTTGCTGAAGTGGCCATATTAAATTAGTGTTTTTCACATTAGTCTGTTACCTGCCAAAAAGTGCTTCAGGTTGAACTTTCCAGGAAAACTGAAACGTCATTGGGCACATGAACAAATGTTATTGTAACCCAAAGATAGTGATTCTTTAAATGATCTTCCATCAGGGGAGATGCAGGTGAAGTAACCAACAAGAGACCATCATCTCAGGGAGAAAAAAGAAGAGAAAATACATAAAAAAACAGAAAAAAATGAAGCCACATTCTTTAATGGTTTCCCCACTCCTCCTTTTCTTTGTTTGGGTCTCCATGACAAACTGTAGGGTGGAAATTGGAAGGAAAAACTTGCCCAAATGTTTGATGGTGTGTAAATTAGTGAGTAGTGGTTTGGCTGGGTACTCTTCCATGCAGGTGTAAATCAGGTTAGTTCCAGAGCAAAGTCTTTGTTTGTGCTGGATAAGCAATATGAGAACTGAACCATGAATTTTTTCCTGTCCCTGCTACTTTAAATGTGCCTAGAAATAAATTATTCTAATTAACTTCTGTTCCATTTATATAAAATCAGATCATAGAAAGATTGAATGTCAACTGCAGGGGTCGGATCAGGCCCTAAATCTCTTATGCCATCTTACTGGTCAGGAAAATACTGAAATTCTCACTGGTCTAATAAGAGTCAGCACTGCTGGGTTTGTCTGTTTAAAGCATCTCCTAGGTACAAGGAATTTAGCATCACAGTTTTGGCACTTCTCTTATGGCTTGGGCACAAGGACTATATCTTGGTCCCTTTTCAGCA